ATTGTGATGTTTTTATCAGCTGTTTGGACTCTCATTCTGACGGCACCCATTCACTGCAAAGAATCCACTGGTAAGCAAGTGAATGCAAAATTTCTGTAAATCTGTTCTGATGAAGAATCAAACTCCTCTAAATTTTAGATTGCCTGAGGGTGAGCACATTTTCAGCAAATTTTCATTTTGGGTTAACTAGCTCTTCAAGATCAATAATATGGGTTTAGAAAATATAATTTATTTCATGTCAGCTTTAAATGTTAAGTGTTTTTCGAGAAATGCTTTGGTTGATTAAGTGTCCAATAATAAGTGCAGCCATTGGTGTGTTAATGAAATTACTGTATGTTGCTGTTGCAGGGGAGGAGCTCGTGTTGCGCTGAAGATCATTAAAAACATTGAGCACTATCGTGATGCAGCTCTGTCTGAGGTTGAGGTGCTGGAGCAGATTAACTCACTTGACTGTGACCGACGATAGTAAGTGCCTGTGAAAGCAGATGAGAATTAAATCTTAAGTAATTTATGCCTCTGATGCACGGCTGTGCATATCACACTTAATTGGAAATTTACAGCCTCCTGGCTGTATAGAAGTCCATACTACAAATTAGCAATGCAGTATTTCATAACTATTTTTCCTTTCTTCAGTGCTTGTGTGCGGATGTATGACTGGTTTGATCACCACGGGCACATCTGCATCGCCTTTGAGCTACTGGGCTTGAGCACGTATGATTTTCTGAAGGAAAATAGCTTTCAGCCCTTCTCTGTCAACCACATCAGGCACATGGCCTACCAGATCATCAGAGCAGTCAGATGTGAGTCACGGATCTTGTTTGAATGAATTTTTTTCTGTGTATTTTGGACAAAACATAGATTTATTCTTTTGCATTTCTTTGCTTCTTTGTGTCTTAGTTCTTCACAAGAATAAGCTGACACACACTGACCTGAAACCAGAGAACATCCTCTTTATTAGTTCAGAGTATGACATCAAGTACAATCCAAAAATGGTAAGGAGAGACATTGACTCCTTTCAGATCGGTGCTATTTTAGTAGTATTTATGTACTATAAATGATTATATTTAATATTTAAAAATTGTATGTGCTTTTGTCATTTCATTAGGTTTTATAGAATCAAACATTTCTATTATTACTGAAAAATATTTCTAAAAATATAGAAAATATTTTTCAGTTTTAGTAATTGTGGTAATTCGATTTAAATCTATTTAATTTAGTTGCCAGTGGAACTTTTCTAAATTTGTTTAAAATTTTCATGAAATTTATATATTTATATAGATAATTTCAATAGTTTAACAAAAACCGCACCGATTCAGACATGCTTTGTTACCATGCATTGATTAATAGTGTAATAGTGTTGTTTGAAATTGTAGAAGAGGGACGAGAGAACTTTGAAGAATCCTGATGTGAAAGTAGTTGATTTTGGGAATGCAACATATGAGCATGAGCATCACACCTCAGTGGTGTCCACACGACATTACCGAGCTCCAGAGGTTATTCTGGGTAAGCAGTTACGGATACATTGTTTTTATTTATACATTCTGAGGTACATTGACAGCACACTTGCTATGATTGCATGTGTTGTGAGCTATAACCGAGGTATCTGTCTGTTTCTAACAGATCTAGGCTGGAGTCATTCCTGTGATGTGTGGAGTGTGGGATGCATTCTTATTGAGTATTATCTGGGATCGACTCTATTTCAGGTAATTATCTGAGTTCAAATTAGATAATTTGTTAACTTTAGGTTCACATGACTTGTTGATTCAGCACTTATTTAGTAGTTTGTGTTTTGTTTTTTTTTGTTTTTTAAATTATAGACTCATGACAGCAAAGAGCATCTGGCCATGATGGAGCGAGTGCTGGGCCCTATACCGACACACATGCTGCAGAAAACAAGGTAATTTCAATGTTTGTATTAAAAATGTAATTGATGTTTTTAATTTTATAAACGTAATTTAGCCCTGGAAAAGTCATGGAAATGGAAAAATTATGCAGTTATGCTCTATAATATAGTAAACTGTAATACTTCCTTTGCTAGAAAATGCTCTCCATGAGTGAAATTAGTGTAAAGTCCTTATCCAGTAAAAAAATAGCAAAAGGAGGCAGAATCTTTTGTTTGAAGTCCCTGAAAAGCGGTTTCTTCTTAGTTTGATCTTTTTTTGCAGAATTTTATTGTTTGAACTGTTTTATTAGCTTTGATTCCACATTCTGCTATTGTGTGTGTATATATACAGAATCAAAATTGCTTTTTTTATCTCATTATGCAGGAAGAAGAGATATGTTTGCCATGATAAGCTGGACTGGGACGTTCACAGCTCCTCGGGACGTTATGTTAGGAAGCAGTGCAAGCCACTGAGAGTAAGTTTTTCATTCTTGTTGTACAGCTCAAGTTGGTTTTGGGGCAGTTGAGGTTTTTGTTTTTACTTTTACTT